CAAGCTGGCCGCCATCCTGGGCAACTCGGCATCCGGGCCCACACAGATGCTCGGACCGCAGGGGTTGCCGCTCGCCCCCGCTGCAGGAACGCCGCGTCCCGCCAACGGTCCCGTGCCACTGGGCAACATCGCGGCGATGCTGTCGAGCCTCTCTGCTGCGTCATCTCCGTCTCGAGCGCCCACAGGGAGCACCCCCGTGCCGTCTGCGTCGAGCCGGGCAAGTGCGACGACGCCGACACCGGTGTCGGCGGCGCCGGCGACGGCATCGACGTCAGCTGCAGACCGTCTCCTGGGTACCAAGAACACCACGGGTGCCCTTGCCACGCTGCTGAGGCAGCTCGAGAAGGAGAAGGCGTCTGCGCGAAGCAATGCTTCGAACGCGCCGCCGCCGGCGATTGCGACTGCGCCCACCTCGGCACAGGCGGCGGCTGCCAGAGCGATGCTGGCCAATCGACCCGCCGTGTCATCAGCTCTGCCCTCGTCCGCGGCTGCGGCCCTGTCGCGGCCGACAGCCTCAGCGGCGCCACGGACCTCGGCTGCGCCAGCCCAGGATCCCATTGCGATCCTGACGGGCGCCAGCGCAAACCCGCTGTTCACGACTACGCCGGGCGTCACCACCACCGTGACGGGACTGGGCGATCTGACGCGGCTCCTCTCGTCGAGCCCGTCGGCCGACCTGGGCCTGGGTCAGGGCGGCGCGCAGTCGCCGTCATCGCCCGACTCTGGGCCCGTCATTGTGCAGGGCCCCAAGGGCACCAGCGCGCTGCCTTCGTACGAGGACATGATCATCGAGGGCCTGCGCGTCATGGACGACCCGCAGGGCACGCCCCCTCGCAAGCTCTTCCACTGGATGGAGGACACCTACCCGCTAATGAAGAACTTCCGGCCCTCGGCGAGCCAGGCCATCCAGAAGGCGTTCAAGCGAGGCAGGCTGCTCAAGTCCGGCAGCCGCTATCGGCTCAATCCGGACTGGGACGGCGACGACTCGGCTCGGCGCGCCACGCGGCGCCCGCAGGTGGGCAAGGACCATCCGATGGTCACGTCCGGCCCCAATGGAGAGATGCTGGCGGTCAATGCGCTGAACAACAGCCAGGCCTACCGCAACGCACTCGAACTGCGGAACAAGGACGCCGCCAAGGCGCCCAAACCCGGGCCGCGGCCCTACGGCCAGCCCGGGTCGGAGCCGCTGCCCAACCCTGCGAACAGCATCTTCCAGACGGGCTCGGTCGCCTCGCTGCTGTTCCAGTACCAGAAGCTGACGGGCAAGACCCTCGACGCCGAGACCGTCAAGCAGCTGGTGCAGCAGACGCGCGCGACGCCCGGCAGCAGCGCCATGGGCCAGGCGCTGGCCTCGCTCCTCAACCGCTCCAGTGCCACCGAGGCCGGCGGCGCTGGTGCCCCCGCCTCTGCCTCGCTGCCGTCGTCGCGGCTGCCGACCGTCTCTTCCGCTTATCCGACGTCGGCTTCGTCCGCGCTGGCCAATTCGATCGCAGCCACGATGGCCTCGGCGGCGGCCAACAGGCCGGCGGCGATGCCTTCGTCGACGAGCTCACGGCCGCCTCTGCCATCGGCAGCGCCCGGCGCGGTGGCAGCGTCGACTCCGGCTACATCCGTCGCCTCGTCCAGAGGACCTGCGGTCTCCGTACCCTGGACGACAACGCCGACGACGACGGCGCCGACAATCACTGCGACGACGCCGAGAGCGCCTGCCGTCTCTGCCCCAGCCGTTCCCGCTGCGTCGGCCAACAAGGCGCCGGTCGCGAAGCCTGCTGCGGCTGCAAAGGCGCCCGCCTCGACGGCGGCAGCCGCGAAAACGGCGACGGCACCAGCCACCGCTGCAGCTCCGACCGCGCCACGGCCACCAGCAAAGGCGCCCACGACTTCGGTCCCGGTCTCGTCGGCCGCGTCAGTCGCGGCGTCCAAAGCCGCTCCAGCGCCCGCTGCCGCATCGTCGGTGGCTCCAACGACGGCATCGACCGCTGCTCCCACCAAAGCCGCGGCCGCGTCCAAGGCTCGCCCTCAGCCTGCGGCTACGCCCGTTGTCACGAGCAAGCCCGCCGAGACTGCTCCGGTTCCAGCAGCCTCCGCTGCCGCCAAGCCTGCCAAGCCCGCTGCGAAGCCCGCTGCGACCGCGGCTGCTCCAAAGGCGGCAGCAGCGTCCAAGGCGCCCACCACACCGGCAAAGTCGACCAAGGCGCCCGCCGCCAGCACCGCCGCCGCCAAGAAGGCCGCCAATGCCAAGTCATCGGCCAAGGGCAAGGCTGCTGCTCCGGCCAAACCCGCCGCGCCTCCTGCTCCTGCGGGTCCGACCATCATGCAGCAGCTGGCGGCCATGCTCAACGAGATGAACGTCCCGCTGAGTGCCGCGCTGGCCAACAGCCTAGTCGGGCAGCTGAGCCAGCTGGAACGCAGCGGCACGCTGCCGACGGCAGAGGCCCTGGCGCCTCTTGTCACGGCAGCCGCCGCATCGGCCAGTCACGTCCACTCCCGCACCGCGACGCCCCGCGCGGGCACCCCGACGGGCACCGCCTCGCCCTACCGCGGTGGCACGCCCGCGCGCACCATGCCTCCGCCGCCTTCGGTCGCGCGCCAAGCGCAAGCTGCACCAGCCGCACCGCTGCCCACGACGACGACGGCAGCCTCGGGCGACGACCTCTC